TTGGGCTTTCTACAAGGAGACTTCACAATCAACTTAGCCTCATCTTGGGCTTTATACAAGGAAGTTAGACTTCAAACTCAAAAACTCTTCAACAAAGAGATGAGAACTCCCATTTGAATTCCTAAAGTCAACACCCTGCCCTTTATGACTTCAAACCTTCAAACTTCAAGTCAAACCCTAGCCAACCTTTGGCTTCAAACTCAAAACACTTCCCCAGAGATGAGACATGAGTCATCTCTATGGAAGAGATGTCTCTTCTATTTTCCACAACATTCAAACAAACATTTTCAAACTTTGTTCCATTTAAGTGATGTAAGTAGCATACTTGTTGATTCAAACTTTGTTCCATTCAACAATAACATCCTTAAAATTTTTAAGTTTTGTTAAAAACTTAAAAATGACATGATAAATTATAATTCGTCGTTATTCTTTTTATTAGAAATGCGAGTAAATGAGTTTGGAAATGAGTACTTAGGTACCCATAAGACAGATACAGGTACAAATATTGCTTCACATGCAGATATGGGTTTGGGTACGAGAATATTTTCAAACCACATGTATGGGGATAGGTAGCATAGTACCATACCCAAACCTTGCCCATTGTCACCCTTACATGTTAGCATGAAGCTCTTCAACCATCAACATAATCTCACAACATCCCTTGCACCAATGTCAATCAACACTCATGTATTAACCAACACCTTATGTAATCTTGATTGAATCAACACCTTTTCTACTTGAGTTTTCCACATATCAAAAATGATTATTCCATCATTTTTTTCTAGATCAAACTGCATAACGGAACTTGTGACGTCAACTCAACAAAATTTTCACAACACCAACCTTTTTTTTTCTAATATGGAATATTTTAAAAAGTTGCAACCACAAAGCATGGTAAGAACTCATATCCCTTGGTTGAACGAAAAGCTCTCATACTAGTTACTAGGGAGACCGGGAGATAAGGAAGCAACAACAAGCTCAATGCTCTAGGACCACAAGAAAGGGAGACAACACATCTTCACCTAAAATCTTAAGGCATTCAGTATATGAGTCATCTCTCTTACAAATTCAACATTGCACAAATTCATAATCATTGTGAGACTTAACCATTTGCGCTTGCGCCCAACAATCCCCCCTCTATAAGTGTGAGTCCTCAAAATCCTATAACAGGATCCAATTCCCGCTCCCCCACTAAGTCGGATCATGGCTCTGGTGCCACTTGTTAAGGAAATCGATGAAGATAAGAATTTGAGTCTATTGGGGCCGTGTGGGTGATTAAGGGTGATTGTGTATTAGTTACAATTTTTACAGTGTTATTATACAATTGTCATTTGACAATGATTATGGTTTTTTTCTTCTGATTTTAAAAGTTTTTACATTATATTTTTATATTGTGATTGTATTTTTTATTTTATTATGTCGATTTTTCTCAATAGAGTATCACATAAAAAATAGAGATGTGTTAATCATTCTTTAAATATAGATCAGCATATACAATTTAAGTGTAGATCAGATTTAATATCGATATTTTATAAGAGACTTTCATTTTTATGTCATAACATCATTTTCTAAGTAGACTTAGAGCATAATTATCGGTAGAAATATATGATTCCTACACTATTACCAAAGTGATTGTGTCAGAAAATGATGGATAATTGCATAATAACATCGTTCTTTAATTTGCAACCGTTGTCACATTAAACAACGTTCCTACAAGTGCCACATGTGCATTTAATTAATTATTTAATTGGAAATGATTGTAAAAAGATTTAATATAAGATATTTGTGGTATTTAGTGGAACCCATTTTACAAATTTTATGAGTTGTATGGATATTTGAAAAATATAGTTGAGTTGTTTAAATAATTTAAAAGTGTAATATAATGTAAAAAAATAAGTAGGACCTATTTAAAGAATACAAATAGGTATGATGGATGTGAATGCTCTTATGAAAGAAGGTTGAGATGAAAAAGTAATATTTTTTATCGAATGTTGGTGTAAGTTAGTTTATCCAAACATTGCATTGCGATATATTTAAATCTTTCAAAATATGAGAGAAAAATAGGTTTAGGTGATGATAAATTAATAAAAATTTATTTCATTTAATATAATTGATTTTTCTATAAACAAGTCAAGGTAAATTGGCTCAATTGACTCACACTGAGAGATCGTGGACTCTACTCCGGCTGTCTATCTGGGAATTTTTGTAGTAGGTGCTTTGTAAATACATCTACAAACATTCTTTTGAGTCTTAAGCTTTAGATATTATAAAATAAATTGAGCAGAATGGAGCAGAGAGGAACAAATATTTTATTTTATTATTTGAAAATTTTAAAATAGAACAAAGCAAATTGTTGATTTCGCCCAAATCAAAAAAAAAAAATATAGTGATAAGTGATAAAATTGAATAAAATCTATATTACTCCATTCCATTTCATTAAATTTTAAATGATTCAAACAATATAATAACATTTAATTCGCAATTCACTCAACTCCATTTAATTCTATTAATCTAAATAAAGCCTTAAAGTCCACCCTGATCTCCTGGTGGGCTCTAGAGCTCATTTCAACACCATTAATTTTCTCACATTTACAAAAGTATTAATTTTCTCACATTTACAAAAGTATTGAAGTCATGAAATAATCAGATACTTACCTTCTTTTCTATATCCATCTTTTCTGTTGTCTAAAACAAAATACTAGTTTTGTATTTCAATTTATTTTATTATATCCAACTTATCGTTTAATGCCAACCATTACATGTTGCATCATTATGGCCTTCTATGGTGATGAGATACCTACTTCAGTGATCTCTAATTTAATTTCAAAGTCACATTATCTTATATTATCTTTAATGCAATATGAGGAAGAGTTTGATAGTAATGCACGACAACGTGTACATATTCTCCAATAGAGTGGAAAACCCGACCCAAGTTATAAGGCATACTTTGTCCAAAAAAATTTGCAAAACGGGTCAAAATTTCAAACTCACAATCTTTAATTTGCCCATCTCATTCCATCCTATTTTTTTGCGAACTTTTGCAGACACAGACTTTTACATACGATTTTGTAATTTTAAACCTAAAACGTTCAATGTCTGCAGACCAGTTCCACCCCACTTTCACTTTTATGCGGGACGGGACAAAGTTTTAGACTCTCACCCTCAAATATATCTACCCCGCCCCGTTTCTCTTTTTGTAGACATTTGGGGAACGGACCTAAACATATCAGACATGTCTGTTTTCCACCTCTATTCCCCTACTATCGCATAAGCAAGTGAAAAAGTACCAGTTTCAGATGTGTATCGTGTTGATCTAGATGACATTGAAGAAGCTTAATACTATTTAATATGGTTAGATAAACCTCTTTAAAGTGATGAGGATTTCAATATTTGGATCTTTGAAGTATAACTTTGCGGGTTTGGTAATGATCCAAATACCATAACCAATCAATATGATAAGAACAAATTGTTCTGAACAATCATGCAGTTATTATTATCCACGCTTTGGACTATACTACATTTCAGTGCTTGAAATATGTTATTGCTATTGCTTGTACATAAACTCATTGTTATAGATAAACATTTATCAGAGAAAATTTTATGTGGATGCACCCATCATTGTTTAATACTCCACTAAGTTTATTTAAGCACGTGAGTTATCTTATCTTATACACACCACTCAAATTATCACCATGAAATTGAGTTTACAACTCAAATTAACTTCTCATGTCTATACTATAATGCTTACAGCACATAATTTGAGTTCAAAGAATCAGAAACATTTACGTTTTGCTGAAGTAGCATACTAGCAGTAGAATTCACACTAGATTTCAATCCACCTGCATCACACTTGTTATACAAACCACACCTAAGAAAGGTTCTTAGCACCTCTGATATCCATACTGATTCTAATATAACATTAATTTGGCACAATTCCTTTTCAGGGCCCTTCAAATTTGATGCTCAACAGGAAAGTTATAAAGAAGTGGCACAGCACTGTTATTATCGATCGGACATTCACTATTGCATTACCTGAATGGAATGGTGGCAGTCTTCTTAGTCCCTGCACATTCAAGATCAAGCCTATCCAGTCTTACCGTTCTTTAACCTACGAATGCTTCTGGCCTAAGCACGGCTACTGAAACCAATTGACAAGGCCTCAAAGTTGTTTCAAGAAGACTACAAAAGCAAAAACACTTTTCGACCGGGCACGAATAGAGGGAGGAAGTAGCAATAACATAAACTTACTTAACTATATGGTAAAATTGCATCTAGAAAACAGTATAAGATGCAAGAGACTACACTTTAAAATGCAATCATGTAAATCATATTAAAATTTGGAAGCTATAATTACTCAGTCAAAATTATTTTGCCAAAATTTACATCTACTCCTATATAATTCCTATATTACCTATTTTCCTGTGTATGTCTCATAAACAAACTGTGCCGCCAGCATATCGACAACGGCGGAACCAACAGACTTAAAAACAGTAATTTCCTCTGAACTTCTTCTCCCAACTTTATCACCTTTAATAAGCTCCACCAAATTTGCCTCAATTTCATCTTCCTTGATCACTCCCCTTTCAAAAGCACCCACCAGCTCCCCTGCTTCAACCAATGCAGCTTCATTGTCAACAAACACTTTCCCCCTTTTCAAAGCCTCATCATCACATTCCTTCATTGAAGGTTTAAAAGAACCCACCAAATCCAAATGAGCTCCAACCTTCAACCTCTCGCCTTTCACAAGCGCCGTCTCAGAGTTTGTAGCACAGCTCACAATATCCCCAAATCCAACAACCTCATCCAAACACCCACAACCCTCAAAACTCATCCCTGAGAGTGAAAACTCATCGCTTTCTCTCAGTTTCTCAGCCAAAGCTTCTGCCTTTTCAACAGTCCTGTTCCAAATCAACACTTTTCTCAAACTGGGTCTAGCTGAAAAATGAGCTCTGATCAAATGAGGTGCGAGGGAACCAGCACCAACCATAACAAGAACCTCACTATCATCTCTAGATAAATATCTAGAAGCCAAACCAGAGACACAAGAGGTTCTGTAAAGCGTAAGTTCAGTGGAATCCATAGAAGCAAGGGTTTGACCAGTTGTTGAATTGAAGAGGACATAGCTACCTTGAACACCAGGTAAATTGATTGAGGAATTTTGAGGGAAATGGGTTACAAGCTTGACACCAACGTAAGGAAACGACGAAGAAGAAGACCATGAAGGCATGAGGAGTAGAGAAGAGGAAGGAGAGAGATTATAGTGTTGGCGAATTGGGGTTTGGAGAAAGGTTGAAACTTTGGGGAGATTGGAGTCGATGTGGTTCATTAGAATTTGATGGGTGAGAATCGTTCGTAAATTCTCAGTGGAAATGAAGATTGGAGAAGAAGAAGAAGAAGACACGGTGTTTGTGGTTTCATTTGTGGTTTTTTGGTCTTTGTTTGTGCAAGCCATTGATGAAAATTTGTCGAGTTTTTTTGGTGGTTTGAGATTGATTACTTTGTGGTTTCAGATTGGTTTTTGCATTACAGTGATGGTACGTGAGAATGGAATGAATGTGGTGATTTGTTGGCCAAACATGGTGTTAGTTTGAAGATTTGATATTCATTTTTAAGAAATACATGTATATTTATAATAAAAATATATAAATGTCCTTAAAATATGATTTTCATAATTAATAAAATATAATAAATAATACAAAACAGTAATATATCATAATACTTTTTTCCAAATTAACCAATTAAAAAAATTAATTAATAAATAAAGAAAATTTGAACTATATTTTTATGGGTATATATTTCATAATTTAGGTAATTAATTATAAAAAATAATATAAACTGATTTCTTTATTCATATGTAGTAAATTATTAAAAAATTATAATTGTAATTACAATTTAATTGATATACACTGACTGATAGTATAAAATAACTTTACACTATCAACTAATCACCTTTATTTTTTCTGCCGCATCATATTATAAATATTAAATTATTGATATAACATGATAGATTAATAAATTTCTATTAAATAATAGTATAAAATTATTTTACGGTGATTAAACTCTTGTAATTAATTGTATACCCATCAAAAATCAATTATGTAAACTCTCTGAATTGCTCTTTTACTTTCATAATAATTTATTTACACGACAAAAAAGACATTTGATAAAGACATTTAAATGATCAAATAATACTTAACGTTCTATTATAGTATGTTTTGTCCTGTTTCAACAATCTATTATATATTTAATTCTTTTTAATATTAATATGTGATATTCATTTTTCAACATTCACCGATTAAACTACAATTAATATTACATATATTTATTTTTTCTTTTAATTAAAACTAATAAAGGACCCGTGCGAACGTACTGGTCGCGCAAGTGCAATAATTTATTTTAAAAAAATTAAAATATAATATCTTTTGTGTATTTATATATATATATATATATATATATATATATATATATATATATATATATATATATATATATATATATATATATATATATATATATATATATATATATATATATATATATATATATATATATATATATATATATATATATATATATATATATATATATATATATATATATATATATATATATATGGTTGGATCAAAGTACACAAATTTATTGTATAAGAGTTTTTTTTAATGTAATGGATGTTAAATGATCAATAAATGGGTTCAAAAAATTTCCACATATAACTTTGTCCAGTTTGGGACATAATAAAGTAAAACATTATTAATTTATAGTAATATAATTTGTTTAATTTTTCCGTATATTATATTAAGGAAGTAATCAAAAAATATAATACAAAAATATTTTTACAATTTATTGGTATATTGATATATAATAAACATTCCATTGTTAATGTTATGAATAAACATTCCATTTATCATTGAGATTTTGGACATAAGAAATAAAAATATATTTATTTAGTAATGGATGAAATTTTCCAACCTGTTACTAATTTGAGGTATAAAAGCGCAAATATTAACCTTCATAATAAATGATTATTTAACCAAAATACATAAACCATGTAAAAGAAATACCAGAACCTCATTTGTTTTAAAATATAGTAATGAATACCATGAAATGTTGAAATTAATTGCAATTGATACACTAAGGTTTAATGCAACAAAAGATATTGAAATAAAAGGTTCACAATTTTAGTTAAAATTGTGAGAAATAAGTCCAGCAACAAAAATGATTTAACTTCGTACAATTTTTTGGTCCTTAAAAAATTGGGTTTATACAAAACCTGCCCGCAACCTTTTAGGAAGTGATGATTCATTACCCTGTAAAAAACAATTACATCCATATAAACAAATGTTAAAACATAATGTATATTTTATACAACTCATTCAATAAAATTCTAATAATAAACAACGACATTTGTTGATATAATAAAACTAATAAAAAACTTACGTTCTATAAGTTTTCAAAAACTTCTTTGAACACGACGTTTGTTGTAGAATTCAATGGGTGGTTATCCTTGTCATGGATTAATATCGTAAGCCATTTTTTGCTTTTGACCCTTGATATTGCAACATATAGTTGACCATGACTAAATACACTTCTAGGAAAATACAATCCAACATAATCAAATGACTGACCTTGAGATTTGTTAATTGTCATAGCATAACATATAGTTATGGGAAATTGCCTTCTAGTCATTTTGAATGGCCACAGAGATTGTGTTGGAGTCATATCCATTCTTGGAATATAGATAATCCCTCCAATATTGTTTCCAGATATAATCTTTGCCTCGATAACGTGGTTTGCCAATCTTGTAACTATAAGCTTTGTTCCATTGCAGAGACCTTCAGATTGATCAATGTTTCGAAGCAACATAATAGGGGTCCCAATCTTCAATTTAATCTTGTGGTTAGGTAGACCGGAAGTTGTAAGTGTATTCAAAAATTATAGGGTCAAAACATCAAAAGCTTCATTTCCTTCACCGTCAAAAGTGTCTACAGAATCTGAACTTAAATATTCCTTTTCTTCACCTTTGGGAAAAATTTTGAAATTTTATTATTATAAATCTATGTTAGTACATATAAATATATGAATGTATCTATAAATATGTTTACAATGGATAACTCATACCTGGTATGAATCCCAAAACGTATTGATTTATGATGTCAACCGTTTCAATTGTTCCTGCCAATATAGCTCTTGATTGCAAAAATTTTGGATTCTTGTAATTGTTAAGAAAATTCGGATATGTTTCACTAACAATGGCTTCCAGTGGATCATCATAGTTAGAAATTAAGAAATCATTTGGAATAGGAATATCCGTGTAACCATCGTTAGGTTCTTCCAATTTCCCATCGCCAACTCTTAATATCCAATTAGAAAACAATTCTAATTCAGATGCACTTGAAGTATTGCCGGCTTGTTGGAGTCGCATGTTCTTTGTAAGCTTCATCACAACACAATGATCCCAGATGTATGATGAATTTATTGTAGAATGTATTATATCTGAACGGCTGCCCCTTGGTACAACTGGTAATATTTGCCGAAAATCTCCACCAAATACAATTACTTTCCCTCCGAATAATTTGTCAGAACAATTGGAACGCCCCATTATGTCTTTAAGGGTTTTATCAAACGCTTCAAAACAAAATCTGTGTGCCATTGGAGCTTCATACCAAATTATCAACTTTGCCATTTTTAGTAGCTCTGCACGATCACTACCTTTGTCGATATTACATCTAGAAGACTCCATTGTAGGTATTGGAATCTTGAACATTGAATGAGCCGTTCGACCTCCTGGAAGTAGTAGTGAAGCTATGCCCGATGAAGCAACAGTTAAACAAATTTGTTTCTTTGATCTTATGTAGGAAGCTAGAGTTCTCCACATGTAGGTTTTCCCTGTGCCACCGTATCCATACAAAAAAAATACGCCTCATTGTTGATTGTTTACTGCTTCCATTATTCGCTTGAATACACCTCTTTGCTCATCTAATTTAAAAAAAATACATAGCAAACATGCAGCGAATAAATTAATTATACATTTAAAAAATTGTAAGATAAAATCATACTTTAAAAGTTAACTTTATAAAATTATGACAAAACTTACAAACATTTAACATATTTACTTGTAAGATTTAAGAACAAATTATTATATTCTTGCAATTGTTCGGCTGGATTGTAAATCCGCTCTTCGTATATGAGCTTATTTCCCAACTGCTCAACCACATATCCACTTGGATAAGGCATTCCAGCAAATTCCTTTAGACTTCGGCTCTTCCTTTGAAGATTTCGCTCAATTTCAATTAATGTTAAATTCATTATCTCTTCATCCGACAACCTCAAACCTTTATACAATAGTAGTTATAAGTGTAAACTATAAAAAAAAAATTACTTTTAAAAATCAAATAAATAAATATAATAAAAATTCACAATATAGGAAAAATAATACCTCTATTGTTTGCAATTTGCTGTTGAGCATATAGTATTCCATCAGCTAAGAGATGACATGTTTTACTCCATACATGTCTTGGCCTGTTAATGCTGCCTGATAATAACATGTGAACAAATAGTAATCTCAAATATTGACCTGAACCCTAATGATTTGCCTCTTTAATAGCTGCAATGAATTCTCTATCATCGCCGATAAAACCCATAGCAAAACAGGCATCCCGGAAATAATCATATTTTACGTTATACACTGTTTTTATATCATTATAACTGCGGGGGCCTTTGACATGTGTGAGCATCAATCTAAGATAGTACAATTCGCCAGTTGTTGGAGGAACCCATATAAGCCTACCAATTGTGTAACCTTTTTGACGGGGTTTCCATTCTCTTTTTTTTCTTAACATAAACAAATTTTGAAACAAATTTGTTGTAAGTTAAATTTTGTGCTTCAGGATACTTGCAATTTGCTTCGAACCATGATGTAAACATCGATTCAGTTACACTTGGTTTTTCCAGAACTCTATTGATACGATCAAAATCAGTGTAATATACCGAATTTTGACCTTCACAATGAAAGTACAGTCTCTCAACAGCTGGTTTTCTACCATGGATTGGAAAGGAGAATATCCTCCAAGATGCTTCACTCGGAGAAACGTACGTACAAATAATATAATGAAAGGAAATGGATTTAAAATTAATAGAATGATTATTATAGACAGAATATATAAATTTTATTATAACACATATAGTCAAAACAGTGTACATATAAAATTTTCTACACCATGCATGTAAAGAAAAATTGCTCACTTTGAGTTGAAATAGATAAATTGCATGACATCATATTTCAAGTGATATATTAGAAACGTACCTACAATCAATATACTGTTTGATCTCATCAATATTCTGCGGCTGGTTGGAAGTTCCATCATCATTCGATACAATGGCAGCAGTGATTCTGTCGTAACCTTTGTTGATGTACTTGAATAAATATTTAATCGATGTACTTTGATTGCACCA